TCTCTCCGGGACAGCCGCTCCCTTCCCGCTTCCCCCGGCCCGCGCAGGAGCCGCGTCCCCGCCTCGGGCACGGGCTCGCTTCGGAGCCACGTCCCGACCCAGCAGCCGCGTCCCCGGCTTTGGGATCGTTTCGGGGAAGTTTCCCTGCGGAGGAGCCTCGCTGGGAGCCCGGCCCGGGCCCGCCGCACGCCCGGAGGAGCCGCTCGGCTCCTTTTGTCCCCGGGCCCGCTCCGCTCTCGCCCCGCTGCCGGGGCTCCGACCCCCGGCTCTGCTCCCCGAACCGGGCTGGATGTGGGGGGGATGTGGGGCTGAGCTCAGAGAGGCCGCGGCCAAACCCCGCGGTGCCAGCGCGGCCCCGGCCCTGCCCCGGCCGTGGTTAAACTTTGATGGGGCAGAAGCGGGGGCCGAAATGGGAGTTTATTTACCGGATTGCCGTGAAACGCTCGGCTGGGGCCGGCCGGGCTGTTTTGCAACCGCTGCCGACTCAGGTGGTTTGAAACCTGATCGTGCGCTCATGTGGCCTTATCTGGGTCTGAGGGAATCGCCTCGGAACCTGCTCGAGAGGCCCCGCGCGGGCTCAGGGCTCGGAGAGGCCGATGGAGTTTATTTTATTTTCTCCATAATCCCGACTTCCCAAACCCCGGACCTGGGGCTCCTGCTCCCGTCGGGCAGGGGCAGGAAGACTTGGGCTGGGGGAAGTTTGGGGGGTCGCAGGGAGCAGCTTCCCCGGAGCTGTAGGGACCGCAATTAGTCCTCAGTGTCCTCTCGGGATCCCTGGTTGTGTCCAGGAGCTATTTGTGTCCCCAGTGCTACTGGGGGGTCACCCTAAAGTACTCATTTGTCCCTCAGGGAACAACTCCTGCAAGCAGCAGGGCTGGGACGGGGCAGGGGCTGAGGGGGACCCTCGTGGTCCCGAGAGGGGCTGGATCCCGGTGGGCTCGGGCCGGTTCAGCCCTGGAGATTCATAGGCACAGGAGCCAAAGCGCCGTGGATTGGCCCAGCACTCCCGGGGGGCGATTTGAGGGGAGAAGCAGCACGGGGGGGCTGCAATCCTGCCTGGACGGGCGGGGGGGATTGGCAGAGCCCCTCCAGTCGCAGCCCCTCACTCACCCAGCCCCTCTCCCCCCAGCCGAGGCCCGAGCGCTGCCGCAGCCTGAGCCGAGCCCACCATGGACACCGGAGTCATCGAAGGGGGTCTCAATGTCACACTCACCATCCGGCTACTCATGCACGGAAAGGTTCGTGTCTCCAGCCCTCTGTGGGGAGCCTGCCGGCCACGGGCTGGGCTGGGCTGGCTGCTCCCCTGGTTCTGGGGTCTGCTGGAGCTGCTGTGGGCTCAGGAATGTGCTGCTGGCACCCGGGCAGGTCCAGCGAAGAAAATAATTATGGGGTGTGGGGGGAACGATCTGATGGGGAGCTAAGGTGGGAGCAAGATCAGCACAACTGGGATAAAGCCCGGTTATCTGAGTGGCAGATCTCAAGTGTTCAGGAGCTTGTTTTGACTGTGAAGAGAACCGAGTTTAGGCTTGGGACTCCAGGAGTTTTTAAAACGCTGACTAATGGTGCTTTTGTTTCCATCCCAGGAGGTGGGAAGCATCATTGGGAAGGTAAGTGAGGAACAAACTCCCCTAGCCCTCCTTTCCCCTTCTCCCCTCGTCCCCCTCCCTCCCTCCCTCCCTGCAGCCGCGCTGACGCCTCTCTCCCTTCTCTTGTCCCTCACAGAAAGGGGAGTCGGTGAAGAAGATGCGTGAGGAGGTGAGTGAGGGGAGCAGGGCAGGATGATGGGGCAGGGCGGACAGACCGATGGATGGACAGACGGCGGGGCTGGAGGGACGGGGCTGGATGGACGGACGGGGCCGGCCGGCGGGGCTGGATGGACGGGGCAGGATGGACGGGGCAGGATGGACGGGGCAGGATGGACGGCCGGGGCAGGATGGACAGGGCGGCAGGATGGACGGCCGGCCGGCCGGCGGGGCTGGCCGGGCTCCGCGGGCTCCGCGGGCTCCGCAGGCAGCGCGGCGGCGGCGGCGGCGGCGGCGGCGCGGGGAATGCCGGGAGGTGTGGGCAGGCGCGGCAGGAAGCCGAGGAGGAGAAGATGGCTGCCCGAGCCGAGGGAGGGGAGGAGGAGGAGGAGGAGGGAGGGCTGTGTCCCCAGCGGGGGATCCGGAGGAATCCTGAGGAGCTGCCGGAGCACTGAGGTGGCATTTGCCTCCCCGCAGAGCGGAGCTCGCATCAACATCTCGGAAGGGAACTGCCCCGAGCGGATCATCACCCTCGCGGGACCCACCAACGCCATCTTCAAAGCTTTTGCGATGATCATTGACAAACTGGAAGAGGTGTGTCCACGGGCCCCTGCAGTCACTGCCCCTGTTTGTCCCTCCTCTCTGGATGGGCTGAGCCCGGGATGGGCCCCAGGGGGCCCGGGGCCGTTGTTCTGCTCGGGCAGCCAACGTTTCCCCGCCTGGCCCCCGATCTTTGTCCGGCCCTGCGCCAGGGCAAGGTCCAGGCAGTGCTGGAGCCAGAGCCCCACAGGGACAGGAGCTTGGAATCCCCCTGGCTCTGCTCGTGCTGCTGCCACTTCCCCCCAGCACACTGCAGGGCTCTGCTCTGGGGCTGCAGCCGTGTGGGGCTGGAGGTCCTGCATCGTGTCCTGTTAAACCAGTGAATTCTAGGGGGGATTTTGCTGTTGGATAACCTGGATCTTGCAGGTGTTAGAGCCTGCTCAGGGCTCTGTGATGTCGAGATTTCCATCCTGCTCCATGTTGGAGTTGGGAGTGCCCCTCATCTGGTGTGGGGCAGCGCTCTGTAGCCCTCACCTCGCCTGTGGGGATACAAATTCTGTTGTCCTTTGCATTTGGGACGCTACCCAGGGAGGAGCAACGCTGTGCTGGCAGCTCTGTCCCCAAACCCCCCTGCTCTCACCGCAGCCTTAGGGGCTGCAGAGCTTGGAGCTGTTTGTGCCCGGTGCAGGGAGCCAAGTCCTCCAAGGGCTGCACGGCTCTGCAGCGCTCTGGGCTCCGGCCTTGGAGCCGAGGCTCTGCTTTTAGTAGGTCAGTTGAGCCCTGGCCTTGTGCCTCCCCTCCCCCTGCCAGCACATGACCGCTGTAATCGGCGCCGGGATTGTTTTTCCCGGAGCTGCTGCCTTGATCCCTGGTGCAGTGGGAGGCTCCGCGCTGACCCTGGAGCCGTGGAGTCCCCGAGCCCCCCCGCCCCCAGTCCCTTGTCCCCTTCCAGCTCTGGTTCCTGCCTGGCTGAGGTGGGATCCAGCCCGGGGCCGTGCCTAAACCCGTTTCTGTTGAGGCAGCAGAGCTTGGCTGCTGCTTCCCCAAAATATATCCGTGGTTTTTTTCTGGGCCGCTGAGGAAGTCCTGGGAAACGGGACTGGGAAAGCCCCGAGGTCACCTTGGCCTGGGCCGCTGGTGCCAGCGTCACCTCCCTGTCCCTGTCCCCGTGCCGGGCACGTCCCCATCGCGTGCCCTCGCAGCAGGGCTGGGCCCTCAACACCTCCTCTTCCTCGCAGGACATCAGCAGCTCCATGACCAACAGCACAGCTGCCAGCCGGCCCCCGGTCACCCTCCGGCTCGTGGTCCCTGCCAGCCAGTGCGGGTCCCTCATTGGCAAGGGAGGCTGCAAGATCAAGGAGATCCGAGAGGTGCGTGGTGCCCAGCCTGGGGGGACCCACGGGGGGCGGGTTCAGGTGTCCCCACCCCAGGGATGTGGCGTCTCCGGGGATTTTTGGAGCTCCCTGTATTTTTAGTGCTCGGAAACTGAGACTCAGGGCAGACCTTGCTCTGCCTGCTACTGTCGCTCACAGCTGGATGCCTGGGGCCTTGCTGCCCCCTTCCCATGACTCGTGGTGACCCTTCCCTGGGCTTTTCCCAGATTTTAGAGAGGGAGATGTGCTCCCTTGGCCGTGCCATTTAAGCACCTGGTGCTGCTGGATTAACTCTGCTGGCATGGAGACCGGCTTGGCTTGGGTTACAGGGACAGGCTGAGGCCAGGTCCCCTCTGCCGCCTCAGGCTCTGGTGACGGAATTGTTTGCAGCTGGGATTAAAGGACTTTATTTTGGGGAAAGGAGGAGCTGGGGGGGCAGTTTTGGCTATGTATAACCACGCACGGGGTTCGTCGCTGAGCTCTCAGCCCTGCCCAGGGTCTGACGGGCTATTTTTAACCCTCGGCTTGGCAGAGCACGGGGGCACAGGTCCAGGTGGCAGGGGACATGCTGCCCAACTCGACTGAGCGAGCCATCACCATTGCTGGGATCCCACAGTCCATCATCGAGTGCGTCAAACAGATCTGCGTCGTCATGCTTGAGGTAGGGCCCCTGCCCGGGCCTGTCCCTCGGGCTGCAGGGCGTCCTGCTGCCCTTGGAGGGCTGGAAATGCTCAGGGGGAGAGCAAAGCAGCTGCTGGGGGATAAAAGGATAGCTGGGGATTACAGCCTCATCCAGGTGAGGCTTTTGGAGCTGCTTAAAACCGGGGTCGAGCGGGGCCTCGAGAGCAGCTCATGGTGTCACCCACGGCCCTGCCGTGCTCCTGGGGGTCCTGGGAGGAAGAAGTAACCGTGCCCTGGGTGCCCAAAGGGCCCATTTGGGTGCCCAAAGGGCCAGCTGGCAGTGCAGAGCAGAGCCCTGGGCTGTGGGGAGGGAGCTGCTGGTGCCAGCAGCGCTCGGTGCCTGACCTGTCCTTGTCCTCTCTGCCTTCACCCAGTCTCCCCCGAAGGGTGTCACCATCCCGTACCGACCCAAGCCATCCAGCTCTCCCGTCATCTTTGCAGGCGGCCAGGTAAGGCCTCTCCTCTGCTCCTGGGGTGCGGGGTGGGCTGGCGAGGGGAGGGCTGGGGGTCGTTCCGAGCTGTCCCGGCCGCTCCGCGTGCCCGTCACCCACGCTGTGCCCTCGGCCCCCAGAGCCAGCTCCAGCCGCCCCTGCTCAGGGGTGGCAGCAGGGAAAAGGGCCGATTGGGGAGGAGAGGGTGCTGGAAAACTCTCCTGGAATTAACCAGCCAAAAAGCCATGTGCCAGCGTGGTGGCGGCAGTAGGGTTTGAATGGGGCCGAGCTGCCTAAGCCAGGCTCTGCCCCCGGCTGGCTCCAAGGACTCGCTGTGACCTCCTGTGGGTGACTGGCCCGGAGGTTGGGGGTTCTCTGCTCTCTGCCACCGGTTCTCGGGGTGCAAAGGCTCAGCCTGTGCCATGGGTAGGGTTGGGGTGCGCAAAGGCTTCGTCTCACAGGAGGGGAGGGTGTCGGACAGGAGTAGTGTCAGGTAGACTGGGCTTCAGTCCCTCCTGCGCTGAGCTGGGGAGTGGCCCGAGCCCCACCCTGAGCCACCTTGCAGGGGACAGGTGTCCCCTGGGGTTCCAAGCACCCGGAAGCCCTCGGGCTGGCGGCAGGCGGGGCCCAGGTGCCACCAGGGCCACCCTGCGGCCCCCGGGGCTGTCCCAGAGCTCGGAGAAACCACGGCCACAACGCATCCGCTGCCTTCCTGCTGCCAGGGAGAGCCCTCGGGGTGGGCAGGGCCTGGCTTTGTCAGTGGGGGCCTCGGTAGGCAGGGAAGGGGGTCAGGGAAGGGCTGTAGCTGCCGCCGGCCTCCCCGAGAGCCAGGCCTGACTCTGCTCTCCCCCCTCCCGGCCCCGCCACGCCACGCTTGTTCTGGGGACGGACCTGCCGCCGTCCCCTTCCTCCCCACCCCTGCCCTTCTCCCTGCCTCTTCCTCCCCATCTGAACCCGGTCAGCCCGCCCCTCCCGCCTCCCCGACAGCTTCTCCCGCCGCTCTGCACCCCGGGGGAAGCCCCCGCGCCCCTGGCCAGCGGCGGGGCCGCAGCTGCGGACCCCCGGGCGGGAGCCGGCCGCCTTCCCCGTTAGAGCAGTGAGGAGCAGGCTTCCCACGGCCACGCATCTCTTCCCTCCCCTTGCCCCTCTTCTCCCCCTTCCTTCTTTCCGCCCCCGTCCCCGGCCCAGGCCCGCGGCAGCCGCCCGGGCCCCCTCCCGTGGGCCTTGCGCTCTCTGTCCTCAGAGTCGTGCCTAGAGCAGGGCGAGCCCTCGATCAGCACTGAGCTAATGTGGATGTTGAGTTTGGTGTTAGCGAAAGGTTTCGGATTGACAGCCCTGGAGACTGAAGTCCTCTAATTTATCCACAGGACAGGTACAGCAGCGGCAGTGCGAGCTACCCCCACACCGCCCCATCCATGTGCCTCAACTCTGACTTGGAGGGACCACCTCAGGAGGTGAGAGGGGAGTTCAGTCTCCACGGCCCGTTCAATCCTTGGCCTCTCTGAGACTGCCAACAAGGGTGGCATCCCTGTCCCCGTCCCCCAAAACCGACAACGGTGGCTTTTTGTGCTGTGGACTCCTGTCCACTGGGAACTGGACTCTGAGCCCACCAACCTCTCCTCACGCAGGCCACCCGGCAGCCACTGCATGGCAACGAACTTGGGCCAATTCCAGCCTGGGCTGCAGTTCTTCCGGTGACCTGGAAGTGAGGCTGTGTACCCCCCTCTCCCCTTCCTCTCCCACCCGCCCCCACCTGCCCGGCCCCCCCAGACCTCCCCAAACCTTAGCCAGCCAGGCCCCAGCCAGTGCCTCGCCCTTTCTGGGTAGCTTCAGGAGGAATCTGAAGTGTGTGGCCGTCCCCTGTAACCTCGGGGACACGGAGTTGTGGCAGGTCAGGCCCTCGCCTCGTTCCCCTCCGAGCACTGGGCCGTGTCGAGCAGTGGTAGCCAGCGCCAGCACTGACCTGTAGCTTGCCCGGCGACGTTGTCCTAGGCGTGTGGAGTGACGAGAGGACTCGGAACGGGGCAAACTTTTTTTTTGGGGTGGGAGGGGAGGCGGGGGAGCTGCCGGGCCGGGGCAGAGAGGGGCCAGGAGCAGCAGCAGGGCCGGCGGGGGCGTTGGAGCCTCGCTGCCTGCGCGGGGGCGCAGGGATAGCAGCATTGTCGGACTCACCACACCATAACATCTTCATCAAGATCCCAGCCGTTCTCTTGTTGGTTTTTTTTTTTTTTTTTTTTTTTTTTTTTTTTTTTTTTTTTTTTTTTTTTTTTTTTTTAAATTCTTATTTTTTGTCTGCCACCTTTTTTTTGGGGGGGGGATGGCACGGATTCTGCCCACCCCCTCCCCGTAGCCGCCACGTCAGGCCAATTCGAGTAACCGCCAGCCTAGAAACTGCTTGTGACAGCATTTATCCGTCCCCGCCTCTCCTGCCCCACTTCCCTCGCCCCGGAGAACTCTCCACCTTGGCTCTCTGACTTCCTGGCTAGTTGAAATCTGTCTGTCCCTGGGTGGCTGTCCGATGGTTGTTAATAGGACTGTTTTCCTCCTTTTGTAGGCCTATACCATTCAAGGACAGTATGCCATTCCACAGCCAGATGTAAGTTTTTATTTACAACTTCTTGTCTTGAAATCCACCCTTTTCCTCCCCCACCTTCCAAAAATTTTCTCCGTGCTTTCTCCACTCGAGCTGGCTCAGCTTGGGGCCGAATAATCGATCTGATCCGAGCTCCCCCAGCACCTCCCACCCCCCAAAAAAAACCTCGCCCCACCTCAGCTGGCCCTCCTGCAGCCAGCTTCAGCCAGTCTCAGATCTCTCCTTGGATCCTCCCCCACCTCCTCTCTGACACCTCCCTCCTCCTTATTATATTTTTTTTCCAAACCCACCTCTCCCTGGCTTGGCATTTCACACCAGCTCTGGCTTTTCCTTTGCCCCCCCCTCAATTTGGCACGAGATCCGCCCCCCCAGCCAGCACACGGTGGCTCTGTCACGGTGGCTCTCCCGGGGCAGGGGACAGCTGGCCCGGCTCTCAGGGCGCAGGTGGCAGTCGGGGCGGGGGGTTGGACCCGGCCCAGCCCAGCCCGGCGGGGCCGGTCGGGAGCGGAGGGACCATCCCGGCAGCGGCCGGCGCTGTCGGACACCTCCATCCTCTGGCACCCATCCTCATCCCGTAGGGGCCGATCGCTGCTCCTGGCACCTGTAGGGCAGCGAGGGGGGTCGGGGGCTCCGAGGAGGCCGGGCTGGCACGGCAGAGCTCCGTGCCCGCTCCCTGCGCTCCCCGCCGTGCCGCCGGCACCTGCTCCCTCCTCCCGCTCCTCTCTGCTTCTGTTCCTGCGCTCCTCCAGCCCCTGCTGCACCGAGGGGGGGTGGGCACAGCCCCCAGCCCCGCGGCCGGGCCGGGGCAGCGCCGAGGGGCCGGGGCGGGGGCGGCGGGGCCGTGTCCGTGCGGGTGCGCGCGGCGAGTGCTGGCCCCCGGCCTCGGGAAATGGCTAACGCCAGCTTCTCTCTTCTTTCTCCCTCTCCCTCTCTCTCCCCCCCCTTCCCCTCCTCTAGCTGACCAAGCTGCACCAGTTGGCAATGCAACAGTCACACTTTCCAATGTCTCATGGCAACACTGGATTCAGTGGTATGGAAACTCCTTCTCTCCGTGTGCGTTGGTGCCCGGCCCAGCTCCCGCGTGGGGCCGTGCTCACAAAACCCTAAACCCAAACATTGCCCCGGGCCCGGCCAGGTGACCTCTGCTGTGAGTGTGCGGGGCCGCAGGGGCAGGGCCTCCATCCCTCCATCCACGCTGCTTCCCTCGTGCCCCCCGTCCTGGCAGCCGTGACCCCCGGCCCGCAGCTCTCCCCTCCGGCTACTCCGGGCCTAAAGCAGGCGACTGCTGAGCTGCACCAAATTCGCTCTAGATTTGCTAACACGGCTAAAAAAAAAAAAACCAAAAAACCCAAACTGCCTAAAAAAAGAAAGAAAGAAAACAATTACCCATTTGGGGCTCTCAATTTGAGACAGCCGAACTCATTGTGACTTGTATCTTAACAGGCGTTGACTCCAGCTCTCCCGAGGTGAAAGGCTATTGGGGTAATGATCCAAACACACGATCTGTAGTTGCTCTGTTGCGTATTGATGCTGCCCAGGGTCTCGTTCTGCCTGATAGATGCTGCCCGGATCGGGGGGAAAGGGGGTTGAGGGGCGCCCCAGAAGGGCCGGAGGCGCAGTCTGGCCGGGCCCTGGGGCACAGCTGGGTAGGGGAGAGCAGCAGGACTGGGTGGAGGCTCGGCTGTGCCAGTGAGCTGTGGGCCCCGAGCTTTAACCCCCCCCCCAGCCCAAAAAACACACAGAGAGGGGAGCAGCCCCCCGCTGAGGAGGAGCTGGAGCTGCCCCGGGAGGGGGGACAGCCCCTGGTGTCACCTGCTGTGTCCCCCTGCCACGCCCCGGTGCGAGGCCTCGTCCCTCTCGCAGGGAGCGAGCTGGGGAAGGGGGGAGAAGTGGAAGAAAGTGTTGAGACGGCCCCAGGCGCAGAGCTCAGCCCTGTGTGGGGTGTGAGCAGCCTCCCAGTGCCCGCTGGCATAGCACGGCCCCGGGCTGCAGGGAGGAGGAGGAGGAGGAGGAGGAGGAGGGTAGCGGTACCTTTGGAAGCTGGCCCCGCGGTGGGAGCAGAGCTGAGTGCCCGGCTGGAGCCCCCCAGTGCCAGCCCCCTGCTCCAGGATTGTCCCCCTTGATGGAGGGGACACAGAGGGGAGAGCAGGGACAAGGGGGAGCAGGGAGGCAGGGGTGGGGAGCAGCGGGGCTCAGAGTGACCTCCCCGCCTGCTGTGCCCTCCCCCCCTGCTCGGAGCCCTCCCAGGCAGCCTGACCCTGACCCTGGCAGCACTTGGGGTGCTGCACCCCCCAGCTGCCCCCCACCCTCACCTGGGCCCCCTCTCTCTGTCTCTGAGCAGGTTTGGATGCCTCTGCCCAAACCACCTCCCATGAACTCACCATTCCAAACGATGTGAGTATCCCTGGGGGGGGGGTTTGGGGTGGGGGTCCCTAGGGTCTGCCCCTCTCTCTCAGGGACTCTGGGGTCCTGTCCTTGCCTTTGAGGCTGTGGTGGGCTCGTGGCTGCACCCCAAACCACCTCAGGCCACTCTGGTTGCCACCACATCCCCTGTCGCTATTCCAGTGGTCTTGAAGGCGAAAAAGCCTTTTTTTAAATCCCTGACCCCCCTTTTTCCGGCTCCTTAAGACCCCGCTCCCAGGAATCCATAATCATGGAACTGTTAAGGCTGGAGAAGGCCTTTAAAGGCCGCCAGGTCCCACTGTCCCCCCAGCACTGAACTGAGTCCCCGAGGGCCACACGGTCACCATTTTGGGCACCTCCAAGGCCGGTGTCTGCCCGGTCCCGCCGGCGGCGCCCGGGCAGGGCTGAGGCCGAGCTGAGCCCGTTCTTTCTCCTTTCCCAGCTGATTGGCTGCATCATCGGGCGTCAGGGCGCCAAGATCAACGAGATCCGCCAGATGTCCGGGGCTCAGATCAAGATTGCCAACCCCGTGGAAGGCTCCACTGACAGGCAGGTGACCATAACTGGATCTGCAGCGAGCATCAGCCTGGCCCAGTATCTAATCAATGTCAGGTGAGTCCCCGTGAGCCCTCCCGGGTGCCCTGCATGGGGGAAGGGGTTTCCTTCCTCTGTCCCTGTCCCCTCCCCGTGCCTGCTGTCCCCGTTCCCCGCTGCCATCGCCTCCAGGAATGCTGCAGGGTGAGGAGGGGGCTGGGGGGAGCCTGGCACTGCAGAGCCTCTGCTGTGCCCCCCGAGGGGTGGCAGGAGGGGCTGCCCAGCATCCCGGAGCCGCTGGTGCTGCTGGCAGCGCCTGGCTCTGCTCGGGGCCCGTCGTGGTGTCCCCGTGTCCCCTGATCCCTGCCGGGAGCTGAGAGGGGCTGGGGGTCCCCGGGCCGCGTCCCTGCCGCTGCACGGCAGCAGCTGCTGGTGGTCGCCTCTGGACTTCGGCTCCTTCCTGGCCCTCGGGGGATCCTGGGGGCTGAGCCGGGCTCCTCTGGGGGGTGTGGGGGTCCCGTGTGCAGCTGGGCCAGGCCTGGCAGCACCGTCCCATCCCTTCCCATCCCATCCCTCCCTCCCTCCCTCCCTGCTCCTTCCCTCCCTCCTCCTCCTCCCCCAGCTCGGCTCCTGCGCCGTTTTCGCTGTTTGTCCTGTGCTTTTTTTTCGCATTTTGTGCTGTTCCTTCCCTC